ATGAGAACAACTTTTGGGAAAGCAAGACAATGTGAAATTCAATGGAAACGTCAGCTCTACTCATTTCATTATGGGAAAATTCTACTACCAGTTCTCCATCACCTTAAACGAAACAGGGTAAATACATTTCATATTACTGATTTACTGGTAGTCTCGAAACAATACTTAACTGCGAAAAATATACTTACTATGCTGCCAGATAGAATAATAACAGGTTTCGTGTCAATCTAAGCTCCGCTTTACGCAATTCTTCATTTTTTGATGGATGTGGCTTTCAAGGCAAACCAAGCCTCTCTCCATTCACATTGATCGATAAAGCAAACTTTAATTTTCAATTAAAATCGATAAAATTTCTATGCATCTAATGAGTTTGTCTAGAAAATATCAGGAGATCACTCTAGATCACTTGAGCTGACGCAGAATCCTACTCATTATTTACTAATAGTTTCGAAGCACAAGCTAGCGATATATTGTAATTTCGTCAATGTAAGCCACAAATACACGCTTGCCTCGAAGATAATTTGAATTTGGAGAGTCCTAACATGCTTCTAAAGTCAGATCTATCCGATGACCCAATGAAATCCGTGGCCACGTTGTAAAGTGGTAACGAATTGCCACATACATGCACTATCTGGTTCCATAGCTCACTTAGAGTTTTGATTAAATCTCGACGAGATCAAAAATTTAGCCGATCCTGGATATAAATAGTTGTTTAGGAGGAAGGCTAAATTGAATTCAAAGGCATCATTACACCTATTACGTTCATTGTAGTAGCCTTGAATACACATACTTAAATGACCTAGAGTAACTCAAGCTCTTATTCAAGAAATACTTCTACTTTCGTAACACTCAATCAGTTTGCTTCCAGAAACATTTCTATTAGCTTGAGTATTTAAACAAGCATATCAAATAAAATAATTCGTATCACTTGGTAAAGCAAGTAAATCATAAACTATGGGAAACTGTAAAGAGAATAAATTCCCAATCCTTTTATGCTCGTACTGAAGCTAAATTAATGGGAAAAATTTGAATTTTATATACTTAGCAACAATACTGCAGTGTGAATTTTAATATGGTGATGCGACCCACGATGAATAATGCACTACTTCGTGGAAGGCAATAAATAGTGAAATTCAATCTATTTTACTCAACTACTTCGAAACCCAGTTACTCTTAGTACCTCTGAGAAGCTGAGATATCCGGCCTTTTAAGTTTAGAGCCATCTGATGAGTTTAAATGCTTAAATGAAAGTGGACAATGAACATGAATCCTCCAGATTTCGTTTCCTTCCTGACCTGGTCTAAAAGGTATATGCGAAAGCCTTGTGGTTATCGACTCACCAGTGTAATTGTTTGCAGCTGTTGTAACAACGTCTGAATCCGAATTTTTAGAGGAGTTGGTAAACTGTGTGAAAGGAGTCAGCAATAACGGCGCCAAGGCACCGCCTAGGCCGTAACCAGAATGCATGAAGTTGAATGGGCCCGCTGACTTCTTGCCCCAGAGCGTAGCCAGTATAGGATTGCCATCTGTTCGAAGGCGGCCGAGTGAGGAGGGCAGATAAAAAAAATTTGGATCGCAATAATAAGTATGGTCATATCTGAGGAGAAGTTGGCATTCGAATATTCCCTTAAGAGATTGATGTCGAGATAACTTTCATTTTGTTTGAAAAGGCAGGCGCCAGGGATTCGCAAACTGGCCTCGCCGAATACCGAAGGAGGATTGCCTTACCTTGGTGACTGCTGGATTGTGCGAGAATCTCGGTCAACCTGCGGCAGATATCGTAAGAGCCGGAAACCCACATTTACAAAAAGATTTAGCAAAATTCTAAACCAAAGAAGGTGGTAGAGTAGAATACCACTTACTTCTTATACTTGACTTTTTTATCTTAAAGAAGCATCACAAGATTTGGTTGGCTACTTCTTACCTATTCCACATTATTGTAGATAAATGAAGCTGATGCATGAAGAGGATATAAGTTAGTCATAGCTGTTTCCTCAGACGAATGGACTGATGTTTGATCCTGCGAGTTTGTTTGGTGTTTTAGGCTTGTGGATGCATGCGCGCAGTGTGAATACAGTACTTAAGATTCAATTGACATGCTATACTCTAAGCCAGGCTCTAACTTAGTCAGGCCTCCATTTCTCACTCGGTCGCTTATCCTCTTCTATCTCTCCACTCTCTTTCTAAGTAATTATATCCAATAGCCATAGGTAGTTCTTGCTCAATTACCTACCCTCATTCCTCATATTCAAGATGTTGTTTTATCAATTTCAATCTACTCTTTAGTCATCCATTTAGCCTTGAAGTCTCTATAATCTGTAAAGCATTGAGTTTTACACCACATTGTAAAAAGTCCTTTGTGGCTGTATGCTCAGCCACCTCAGATTTCTAGACTCATAAACTTATGTATACTGCTTTGCTCTCGAATAACCTCCTATGTATGGATCGACAGGCATTACCCCAAGGTCACAAAACCTTATAGCAACCTGATCTGGAAAGATGATCCGAAGATTCTCTAAGATAAGGCATGACCGAGAAAGAGGTAGTCTTTCTTTAAACATGGTCCCGACGCTCTAAAGCTGGTATGATTGTAGTATCAGGAATATGAAGGAAATGGTGTTCAATGCCTTGTTTTGCCCTAAATATTTATTTTCTACTATATAATTAATATTGTGAAATTTTTGGCAATAAACCCTAGTGGATAATTGTTCTTGACTAAATTGTTTCTTAGCCTTTCCTGCTAAACACAAGCTTTTTATGATCGTTGTTTTTAAACACCCACGCTAATCCCATAAAAATGATTAGTGAAGGAATTAAAAAAGAAACTCGAAATTGTTCTCTCCGTTATTAACTAGGTCATACAAATATGACAACTTACTATCATTTCCTAATTTAATCATAAATAAACTCATTAGAGGAACGCACCTTGTCCGGAGTCCATTGTATGTATAAGCATTTCCAAAGTCAGACCCTGGACGTGGTACATTCCCAGACGTTTCACCGGCATCGTAGTCGACATCCTCAGTGAGTCTTGCCATTCGTAGCATCATATTACAACTCGTCAAAGAGACAAGTGAAGCCGATCCTTTGACCAAACGTGTACTAAACAGTTATGGTATCTCCCCTTCTACACTGGCCCATTTACATTTTCTATATCCTCCTGTCACACCTTCATTTTTAGCATTTTTCACTTAATTAATTAAATATGGTACGGTGTGTCCTTTTGCGCGGCTTTCATAAGAACCCTCTGCACTCCACGCTGCCCTCTTTCTGGTTCACATATTTCATTCGACCCCTGCCACGACAATGACTTCTGGGACGAGAAGTTGGACAAACTGACATGGATTTGCCTTAGTAACGGATATCCCAGAGCATTTATAGAAAAAAATACTATGGTTATAAAGGGCCGATTTCAACTAGGATTTTATGAAAATCAGATCAGGAATCAGGGGGGGCGACCAGAAGCGGTTTTTCCTGCCATCATCACAACTCAGCCATCAATTGCGACCGTTACTAACGAAATGGAACATCAAAGTGATAACAAAGGAGAAGGAAACACTTTTTATCAGTCTTCTGACGCAATACGAAAAGACGGACAAACTTGATTGCTCGGGAGTTTATCACATCAAATGCGGAAACTGTGAGCAGAAGTATATCAAGATCAGCAAAACGAAGACGACTAGATCAAGGTAATATTCTTAATTTTAGGAAAAGAGATCGCAGGAGGATGAGAAGGAAACAATCAGAAGCCAAGAGGAGACGTCTTCAGTGACCCTAATCAAAACAAGTAGGACCACGACATTTGTGGGTTGGCACACAAGAGACTAGGACGTAGGAAGTGATGGATATGGTATCACAGATAGAAATAGGAAAGACACGGTGGAGACTAAAGCTATTTGGCTAAAATAGTCGTATTTGATAATAGAAGTGATTCTTGAATCATGACTATCGTT